GTGGCATGAGCCTGTAATTCGAGCTACTCTGGAGGCTGAGGCAGGAGAATCGCTTCAGTCCAGGAGTTGAAGGCTAGTGAGCCACAATCATGCCATTGCACTCCAGCCTAAGAGTGAGACTGTCTGGAAAAAAAAATTTTTTTATATATATGCATACGGTTATACATATGCAAAAGGGTTAACAATGGCTGCCTCTAAGTGGTAAGACACAGGTAAAATTTTTTCCTGCTTTATACTTTGTTCTACTTTTCTGTAATTATATGTAACCATATAAATAATTATTCTTCAATTTTTTCTCCTTCCTGAAATCTTTACTTCTCCCATCATTCTAAAAGTACTTCAACTGTTATATGCCTATTTCCTGGTTAGTACATCTATCTGTGTAGGTTATCTCTATTAGCTTGCTCTCCAAAAAGTGGGGGCAATTCCATTTAGATTGTTTCCTTTGTACATGTCTATAGAACTACTTTTTAAAAAGGTATCTATGGAAATAAAGCAAGAGAAACTAATCATACCTTAACATAAATGAGATCTACAGAAATAACATGCATATGCCAAGTTATATGGCTCTTAATTCAGTACAAAGAAGATTCTTTTGAAGTATCATTTAGTTCAGGAAATAATGGGTGTATATCACCAAAAATGCAAAGTAAAAAACAGTTATCCTTATAAGATAGAAGGCAGATATCCTAAGAATTCAGAGAAAGGGAAGGGAAGAATTCAGAGGGCAAAAAAAGATTTTTAAAACTACTATTAGAATTTTTTTTGGGGAAAGTGATGTTAAGAGGTAGGTCTTGGCCGGACACGATGGCTCATGCCTGTAATCCCAGCACTTCAGCAGGCTGAGGCAGGAGGATCACTTGAAGCCAGGAGTTCGAGACCAGACTGCACAACAAAGTGAGATCCTGTCTCCACCAAAAATTGAAGAAAAAAATTAGCCAGGGGGCGCACATCTATAGTCCTTGTTATTCAGGAGGCTGAACCCAGGAGTCCAAGGCTGCAGTGAGCTATGACTACACCACTGCACTCCAGACTGAGCGACAGAGCACAGCTCTGTTTCTTAAAAAAGTTCTAGTTCAGGCACGGTGGCTCACATCTGTAATCCCACTTTGGAAG